CTGAGTAAGTCCTTTAAAAAAAAAAATAAAATAAATTTTTTGATTTATTATTATTTATTATTTAATCTTGTTTATAATTTTATTTTTTGTGTGTTTTATATAAAATATATTTTCTATCTTGTTGCCAATATCTTGTTTATCTTTATTTTTGCTTCGAGGTGGGGAAAGTCAATTAGGGGGTGGGTGAATCCACCGAAAATCTGTGGATTACAATTAAAATTCCCTTCAGGAAAAGGAAAATATCAGATTTATCTCTCGGTGACGAAAACACACAGGGAATCCCTTCGGAATAAATTGAATTTTTCCCCTTTTTTCTATTTCTCCTTATTCAGGAGAACGTGATACCCACATCGGTACGTGTCCACCTCCTTCCCGAATCCCCCGGAATTCTGCGCGCGGAATCGTGGTTTTTATTTTCATCCTCATAACAATAAGAATGAAAATCAGAATTTTTTTCCTCCTTTTTAAGACGAACTCTCCGCAGAAATCGGTACGTGATTTTTTTTTCCACCTTCCACCAAAAAAAAATAAATACACAATTTATAGTCTGGATTTTTGGTTTTTTTAATGAAGGAAAAAAGAGGTTATAACAAATTTGATTTTTTTTTTTTTTTCCCCTTTTCTTCAGAAAAACGCGACAGGAGAATTGGTGAGTGTCAGAATTCCGTGCTCGTGGGATCCGGGCGATCCCTCGGCTGGGAAGCGGGATGGAAATCCTGATTTTCTTCTTTTTTTCCTCTTTTTTTTCAGATGAACTCACAGCTGAGCTCGGTGAGTCGCGTCGTGTGTCGCAGGAAAGGGAAAGATGCGAGTCCGTGTGGGGGATTTATTTCTGATTGATTTATTAATTTCTGATTGATTCATTAATTTCTGATTGATTCATTAATTTCTGATTGATTCATTAATTTCTGATTTATTAATTTCTGATTTATTAGTTTATTTCCGACTTATTAGTTTATTTCCGACTTATTAGTTTATTTCTGATTTATTAGTTTATTTCCGATTTATTAGTTTATTTCCAATTTATTAGTTTATTTCTGATTTATTTCTGACTTCTTTCTTTCCTTTCTTATTTCTGATTATTTATTTATTTCTCGTTATTTATTGGTCTATTTCTGATCGATTTATTTCTGATTTATTCATTTGTTTCCGATTGATTTGTTTATGATTCATTCATTTCTTTTTCATTTACTAATTGATTTCTGATTTGTTAGTTTATTATTTATTTATTTATGTCTGATTTATTTATTTCCTTTTTTATTTCTGGTTATTTACTTGTCTATTTCTGATTTACTTATTTATTTCTTTGTTTCTGTCTTATTTTGCCTGATTTCTGCCTTTTTCTGCCTTTTTCTGCCTTGTTCTGCCTACGCAGTTACAATGATGTGAATGATAATAATAATTTATTTATTATTTATTGT